GCTGGGCTTCATAGGCTTTATGCCAACCATCCCGGTTGGCATCCTGAGCAAGTGGGGAGCAACCAGGTCAAATGTGTCCTCTTTCTCACCTGCACCCTCCCGTTACCCTTACACACAGCAGAGATGCCTGCTGCAGCAGCCCCCTCAGCAACGCCCCACAGTGAGCACATCCACTGTGTAACATCTCTCTGGAAACACTTCCCAATGGCCACATGAAACCAGGCTGCAGTTCTCTCAGTTTGCATGTATCCTCCCAGCAGTGTAATCCTGCCTTTTATTTCAGTCATGAGCCTTCAGCTTGTCTGTGAACATGGATATGACACTTCTGAGTGGGAGCAAGCTTTTCTTTATTGCTGCTGCAGCGATTAATCCAGTACATTTCCCTTCCTTTGACATTCCCATTCCAATCTTACACAGGCCTTTGCTGTTACCTTGGCTAATGCCTTGCATTTATTTTGTAAACCAACTGCTGTGATTACAATGGAGCTCTAGCTCATGAGGGCAAAATCAAGGAAAATAATGCAGGAAGCTAGTTTATCTCAAAAATACAGCATTACATCCTGCAACACCAAAGCTCCTTGCCAGCAGTTGTAGGAATTTACTCCTTGCATGGAGGATTACACAGAGGTTGAGGAGAAATCATCTCAGCAGGGTGGCTCTGCAGGATGTCTGCAGGGCAGCTTCCCTGCCCAGGAGGAGCCGTGCCCAGCGTGGCCAAGGGATGCACAGGGCCAGGGCATGCCCGAGCTTTGCATCAGCATTTCCCCATTGCCTCTCTGTCTGTTGTCCACACCCAAAGTCCCACAGCTCAGTGTGCAAAGCAGGGTGAGCCCAGCAAACAAAATCGTATCAGCAAGAGAGCAGCAAGGTAGATTTTGGGCTGAGGTGGTAGGTGAGACTGGCAGGCATAGGATTTCTGGTAATGTGGGCAGCAGGTTTGGTCACTCTTTGATGATAACACAGGGGGTGGGACTTCTCCTTCTAGATGTGTGCCAGAGGTGCCTGTGTCTGTGCTCCTCACCTGGGGTTCCCTTTTAGAGCTGAAGGAGAGGAACAGAAGTAGCATTTCCCTGGGCTCAGTGCCTCCTGAGTTGGGAAGCAAAGGCAGCTCAGGAACATGCATCTCCAGTGACTCTGAAAGAGCCTGGGTTCCTGGCTCAAACATCAGAAGTTGCTTGTACATACCTTAAGGTCAGTGGGCAGAAGCTCCCCACTACCACTCTGTGTCCCTGGGACTCAGAGCCACACGCATGCACATTCATCTCACAGGGCACTACCGGAGCATCTTCAGGGCCTCCTCCAGCTGGATGTCTTGAAGGTACATTATAAATATACACTCTATAAGTAAGTAAGGTTGCTTGTTATTAACTGCCATTATTTAAGATAGGCCAGGGACTCTCTCTTTTGTAGGTGTATGGCCCAGAAGGTCTTTGAAAGCTGCCCACTGAGCCTGAGGTATGAGGGGCAACAGCACATACTTTGTGTGAGCTGAGAGTGGGAGCCTGCAGAGGACTGTGACTGACAGACTGGTTGTGTGTGCACGCTGTGACAGCCCCACTCGGCTCTGCTTGCTGGAAAACTCACTCTGGGGACAAGTACCAGGAGCAGAGGGGAGGGGAGCACCTGTTTACAGGATCCTTGTTTGCTTTCTTTGCAAAGCACACCTCGGGCACCTCTGCCCACGTTAGCGAACAGCAGGGATTTAGCCCCAGAGACGAACCCAACAAAGAGAAGAGTCTGCAGCTTCTAGGCATTCGGTAACCCTCCCTCTTCACCCCAGATGAGCTAGAGCTATCTGTGCAGCAGGACCAGCTCACCAAAGCCTAAGTAAACTAAGGTAGAATTTGTATTTTATCCTGGAAATGAGACAGCTTGACAACTGGCCCCAGTAGACAGAGCTGGAGGGGGCTGATGGTCTCCCTGCAGAGAGATGTGCTTCCCCAGCAGCTCTTCCACTGCCACTGCATACTTGTCCTGGGGAGGAGGTACCCAGTGCCACCTCACCACTGACCCAGAGTCAGCCAGCTTGCTCTGGTGTGAGCAGAGGACTCCCTCTGTGTCCTGCCGTGGGCAGGTAGATCTGCAAGAGGCTGTCTTGTAAAACATCAAGAAATCAACCCCAGCTCCCACTCTGTCCTGGGGCTTTGGGAGACTTAGGGTCAGACCTCACATGAGAGTCCACAGTGCTGAGTTGGGCTTCAAAGGGCACTGAATGCTTTTCAGACTGCCCTCTGGGTAGGATGTTTTTTTTTTTTTTTTTTTTTAGCAGATATTGTTAAAATATTCATAGACAGGCTCTTCTGGCACAACCAGGCATGCCTGAAGCACCACAGGACACAAGCTCAGTTTTTGCCAAAGAGTATCCATAAAACATCAGGATACTCGTTGGGTACAAGGTATCCTTGTGGACAAAACTGAAATTACTGGACAGCAGGAGAAACTGTGTCCAAAATGTTCTGTCAAAATATTTAAAGTTGAAGGTTGGTTTTTCTGGAGTGATTTCATCCCCCAACTGTTTTGGGATTACAGTGTAAATTATATCATAGTCCTCTTGCTTCCCATAACTATTTATCAACCGTTACTGATAAATCTCTTCATCAAATGCTTCGTTGAATGGCTTCACAAGCTGCCTTATGGCACCAAGGAAAAATCAGTTTCCCCAACAAGCAGTAGGAAACCTGGGGACACAGTTAATTGTGTGGGGGTTATTGTACAGTATATAGTCATCCTGGCACACAAAAACATACCAAATTTCCCCTAATGCTCCTCAGGCTTCGCTGAAGATGCCATGTCCAAGAAAGCCATCTAACACATCTGCTACCTCCACAAAGAGCCCACGGTTCAGCAGTGCACCCGTTTTGGACAATGGCTCTTGCTGTGTACATGGGTGCAGAGCTGGTAGCACCCTCCACAGCCCCAGCTGTCCTCAGGGAGAAGCCCCCTTACAACCCCTTTGCTAGACGGAGGAAGCTCTGCCATAAGGAGATCTCCTTTGGAAGCTGCAGCCAGCCTACAAGAAGCAATTTAGACTTGGTGAAACCAGCCAAAACAGCTAAAAGGAAGCTTTATTGGATAGGCCAGTGAGAGGAGACTCCAAAAAGGGGAAATGCAGCTCAGGGTCCTGATCTGTGCCAGGGCAAGGCTGTCCTTCAAGGCATCACGGCACTACACTGGGTGCTTCAGATATGGGGGTGAGTGTCAGGTTGTGCTACTGTATGGATCCAGTGGTATCTGCTAAACAAGAATCAGGCCCACAGTACAGTAAAATCATGTGTTTCTACTGTATATGAAAGAGTGGTACCCAATTCTATATGTGGGGAACAGATTTTTGACAGGAGGAACTTCTTTTTTCCCAGAATGAATCCAAATATAAATTCCATTTTAGTCCTTTAATTTGACTACGGCCTTCCTGTCCCTCTCATACTAATCTTACTTAACATCATTTAATTTAAACTGTGCCTGCATTTTTTTGTCTTCGGAGCATTAGACTGCCTGCCTGTGACACCCTGGCAGTCAAACCCTCCCTGGTGCCTTGAGAAGCAGGTTTAGGCCTCTAGTGAAGTTCAGGACTGGGTTTTACAAATGTCTCTCTGCATCCCCGTGCACTGCCTGCAACCCCTATGGCAAGTGGCTGAACCAGACAGTGCTTCACAGGGCTAAAAAACAGATTTGAAGAGGGTATAGTGTTTGGGGAAGGGGAGAGTGGATCCAGGCCACATGCTGAGCACAAGCAGCATCTGTCAGTGCTGTGTGCATCCCCGAACAGCCCTGCATGGTGCTGGCAGGTGGGAAGTCAGGCTGCAGTTTGTGGTGCAGAAGGGAAGCTCTTTTACTGATACAGAGATGCGGTTAAGAGGTTCAGCCAGGAATAGGCTGCTGCCAGCAGGTAATTTTGTACAAGTCAAGGGACACTGATGTGCTGGCTGTAACACTGAACGACATGATTCAGAACCAGCAGTTCAGATTAAAATGTCCGTGTACAGCAGCCAAAGCCCAGGGTCATCGCATCCAGAGATGGGCCAAGTTCTGCACAAGAGATAGGCAAGTTCTGTGCAGCCATAATGCTGTATGAGAGACTGGCAGGCAACAAAATGCAGCAAACACAAAAGATGTATTTTCTCTACCCTGCAGCCTTGTACCTGCTGCCACAGAAGGGGTATAGACAACCATAGAGCTAGTGATGTGGGAAATCTGAAGAGGCTCAGAGCATGGATTGGTTTCTTTAATCACCTGAGACATCCCCATCTTCTGAAAAAGTGGATCAAAATCACACTTCCACCAGACTCCAAATTATGAGCCTTACATGCTGAGTCTCAGGAAACAAACAGATTGAAATTCAAGGCAGCAGTGAAAACCTATTGGGCATTGATTGTCAGTGAAAAATTTAATTTTGTGCACATTTTGTCAAAGCACCTCGTTGTAGTACTTTAGGGCCTCAGGGGTTTTGCAGGTTTGAAAGCAAGGAAAGCCAGTACAGGCCATGGCACCACTGTTGACTGTCCTCAAGTGCCACTGTGTCATGCACGGGTGTATGTCCTCGCCCCAGTGGGAGTGGGCAGCTGCCAGCTGCCTCCTCCTGCCCCTGCTGCTGTCAGGGCTTTGAGCCAGGTCCCATGGCTGCAGCAGGAGTGGGGAGCAAGGGGCTTTCCTGCCAGCCCTGTCCCCTCGGCATCCCCATGGAGGTGAAAGGAGGAGGATGACCCCACACTGTTTCAAGATGTCCCCTGTGAAGTTGCTCATGACAGAAGTGAGATTTCACCGCTCTGCTCGCTCTTCGGTTGCTGTCCCTTCTGTGTTTGCAGCCCCCATGTGTTTATACCTGGTGCAGGTGCAGGCTGTTGCAGCAGATGCTGAAACTTGTTTTTCTTCTCCTCTTTAAGGTGTGTGCCCCTCCTTCCCCAAAGAAAAAGAAGATGAGCAAGAAAGAAAAGAAACCCATCTATTTGTTGCAGACTGTGACTGGCTTGTGTAATAACGCTGCCTTTCTCTCCTTGTTTTAGGGAGTGCTGCCGATTTTTTGGAGACAATGGCTTGACTTTGAAGGTGTTTTTTACCAAAGCAGCACCCTTTGGTGTTCTTTGGACCCTCACAAACTACCTTTACTTACATGCAATAAAGAAAATAAACACTACGGATGTCTCCGTGTTGTTCTGCTGCAACAAAGCTTTTGTGTTCTTGCTTTCATGGATCGTTCTGAGGGACAGGTTCATGGGAGTGAGGGTAAGTGACTCCTTATCTCTGTCTCCCTTCTTCCCCCTCGTCCTTCTGCATTTCCTTTTCCTCTTCCATCCGGCTGGCTGAGTGGAACCCCACACAGATGACTGAGCGGGCACAGAAATTCTTGCAGAGCAGGGACACATCCTTCCCGTCAGCCTGCCCAGGCATCCGTGAGCTCCCAGAGCCCCCATGTCCCCCCGCCTGGTGCCTTTGCACGTTTTGCTTCAGAAAAGAGTTAATTTGCTCCAGAGTGTGGCACAAAGGATAGCTGCTATCTCCATGTTGCTGTGGACATGTGTCAGCCTTTTCTGGGCCCTTCCAAGTGACTTGCCAGTCTGTGGCACCAGACCTAGTTGTTTCTAACAGCACATTCCTGCAAGCCCCAGCTGCACACTACGCGTTTCTGTTCCCAGCCTGTGAATTTAATGGGGCCCTCACTTTCCTACAAGCGACAGCAGGCTTGCAGGGTGACACGGTTATCCTTTGCACCCATGTCAGTCAGCAGCAGCTGTGGAGAGGTGAGGAGAGCTGGGCTACCCTCGCCCACCCGTGGATGAAGTGTGTGTGTGTGTCGCAGGTGGAGGATCAGCATAATGCTAGTGCATAGGGAGTTGCAGCTGCCCAGCGGCTGTGGGCACGGGGCCAGGCAGCACAATCTGCAGCAGGGCAGCGGGTCCACCTCTCCTGGGATTGCTTTCCTTGTAGCACCCCAAATGTTTGCTTATGCCCTTAGTCCTAGACCCTATGTGAACACTCATGTCACAGCAGCAACAGAGCTGCATGTTGTGAGGGTTATTGGAAACCTGCTGACCTTGCTGACATTTTGGCAGCCCTCAGCGCAAGGCATCCTCTGGCATCCCACTGCCCCAGGGCCAAGGGGGCTATGCCAGCGCCAGGAGTAACTGCAAGGAGAAGGAACCAGACCGTCTATCCTGCCTCTCTGCACTAGCAGGCACTTATTAATGTTAGCAGCAATAATGATAATAATACCTATTTTCCGCCCACCGTTTGAGGAACTGTCTGCTCACATACCTGGGTGATGCTTTCAGTGCTCCGAAGAGGCTGTTATACCTCACTGTGTGAAGCAAGCAAGAGTTAACTTTTTGGGAAGCACTCTCTCTGCAGGAGAACTTGGCTGGCATTGTGGTGGTGGCAGCCAAGAGGCTGCAATATGTACCCGCCAAAGCCCAGCCGGTGTCTGCATTTGCCCACCCACCTGCCCAGGTAGCTGTACCCTGAAAACAAATAAACTAGGCTTTTTGAGTACAGAAGCAAGGGTGTCCTGAAATGATCCTAGAAGCAGGGAAGTGCCACTGTTATCCCAGCTGGACATGCTGGCCATTTTGATAAAAGTAAAAATTTTTAAAAAAGCATATTTTTGTGTTCTTCAGCTGTCTTGTGGCACTGTCAGCTGTAGTGCCAGTAGGATGCCAAGAGAGGAGGTGTGTGGAGGGCTGACCGTGGCTCTCCTGCATGTGCAGCTTGCTCCTTGGTCTGCACATGCTATCTCTCACCACTGGGTACAGCTGAGGTATGGGAGGAAGAAGCCCACCCATGTGTAGGGATACACACACGGGCATGCACACGCCAGAGCGGAGACACTTCTCATGCTCTCCCGGGTGTGTGGTCATGTGTGAAGAGCTGAGGTGGTCAGGGGCTCTCAAGCAGCTTCATAGCCAAGTTAGGTCTTGTGCCACAGCAAGTGACAAGCACTGGGGGATTAATCCTGCTCTGGATCCCCCCTTCCCAAAGGGGCAGGAAGGAGCAGAGGGAGCAGGGAAGCAGACCCAAGTGGTGGTCTCAGTCATGACCAATGTCCTTCATTTCTTATCAGCACTGCCTTGGGAAAGGCTGACTTGCTCAAAACCCAGCAGCAATGAAGCAGAGATGCAGAGTGGGAGCCAGGGCAGTGGGGGCCATGGGATGCCTCTGCCACGTGTCCCAGCCCCTCACAGTGGCATCTGGCACTGAGAGGGGTAACACTTGGGAGGGGGGTGTGGGGGGTGTGGGGGTGTTGGGCGTGGAGAGGTGGCTTCCTGAGAGTCCACCTCCACGCCCAAGGAGTAACATGGCCATCTCCCACCCTGGTGACAGGCCAGCAAGGGGCCTGGGCACAGGGGGAAGGGACTCGCAGGAGGACTGAGCTATTTGGTCTCGGACAGACCAGACATGGCATCCTGACATATGGCAGAACATGTGTGAGGAGATGCTTGTCCCTAGGGACTGTCAGGGCACGGGGCAGCACAGCAGTCCTGCCGCCCAGCTTTGTGTGACACAGTGGGAGTGCTGGGGACACTCCTGTCTGCAGAGGGAGGTAGTGTGAAGTCTTTCCGTGAAATGCATTTTCTTCCTTCTTTCCTCCCATTTCTGTACAGCCCATGTGAAAAACAACCAGCAGTGAGGGTGGTGCTGCCTGGCATGCTGGGGGATAGCCTCAGGATGAACCCCAAAACAAAGCTCTCCTCCTGGGACTGGCAACCAGGAGCAAGGACAGCTGCTGGGGTTTCTCCAGAAGGGATCTATGGACTGTGAGCCAGCACACAGCACAGCCTCAAAGCCCGTGGTCCTTTGGGCCCACATTGTGTCAGAGCTGCTGACCTTTTTAGAAGCAACCTTTGAGAGGGTATCTAGCAGATGAGGCTGCAGAGGGGACAGTGCCTTCTCCTGTGGTGAGTAGGAGCCCTCTCACACTTCCTCTCCATCCCTGCAGCAGTGCAGCAGGATGGACAGTGCCACAGCAAAGCTCTGACTGCACATTTTCGTGTCCCTGTTCACACCCACTGGAGGGGAGAGCAGGTGTTTAAGCACATACAGGTATCTCACTTGGCCTTCAGAAGCGTAACTACTAGCTCTACAAGCACTAAATCACAATTTGGCTGGAATTTAAATGTAAGAGCAAGCTACAAAATCCCACCCTTGCCACTCAGGCACTTGCAAGTGCCTACATCTCATGTAATGAAGTTGCATTTCTCCCCCTTTCCCTTCACTGTGCCCAGAGCACAGTCTGTCCAGCAGAGCTGTGAGTTTTTGTATTGCTTTCAGGGAAGACACACATGTAATGAATCTGTGAGTGTCTGAAGTGTTGCCTCTGCAAGCCCTGTGGTGCTGAGGCATTTGCAAGTAACAGCAGACTGGTAGCACTGACGTGGTGCAGTGCAAGCAGCCTGTCACTGCTGCTAACAACATTCTTGACAGACAGACTGAAAGGCTTCCAGAGAAAGCATATGTGGCACGCCTGGCATGTCAACAGGCAAGGCCAAGACTCATCTGACACTCACGACATGCTTGACAGAAGAGGCAAGGACTTCTGCCCCATCAAAACTCTTTGCAGACTGCATTTATTTGCTTTGATATTGGACTTCGGTGTTGGCCTCCATGCTTCAGTAAATAAAACAGCTCAGGATCAAAGAGAGACATCACTTGCAAGTACCTCCTGTGTACGTAATGTATAGACAAGCACACCTGCCAGTGGGACTTGGAAATAAATATACTATCAAATCCCAAATGGTAGTCTTCCTTTCCAACCAGGCAGAGACCCAGCCTCCCAGAAGGTGCTCTGAAGTCAGTCACTATGTTAAAAGCAAAACTGGATGCTTTTTATTCTGCAGTTCATTAATGCACCCTTCAAATTTCCACTGCAGTGGAGTTGTAGCTGCCAGCAGGGGCTCAGGCAGGCTCCCTTCGCTGATACGCATGGAGTTACCCAGTTTGCCACAGCCTGGCATGTGGCTGTGGTCTCCACCTGGCTCTCCAGTGAAAGCCAGACAAGCCCCACACATCTTGGATGGTAGACAGCCATGCCTGGAGCAGATGCTACCGGAAACACTGCATCATCCAGTCTTTGCCACCTGGCCCGTAGCACAGGTAATGTTGAAGGGCTGAAGTTGCCATCTTTCAGATAAGCTCAAGCCATGTGTCTTGCATCTGTATAAAGAGCCATGCTGAGTCAGAGCAAAGGTGCGTCTGCCCCAGGAGCCTGGCTCCAGCAGCTGCCTACAGTGGACACCTAGAAAAGTCTGTCTAAACAGGAAAAGCCTATAATGATATTTTCTGATGAGACTTTCCAGCCTCCAGCAATTTGAGGCTCAAGGACTTCCTGAGATGGAAGCAATGTTCCTATAGTTAATAGTCCTTGATGGATTTTTTTTCTTCCATGAGTTTATCCACATAAACTTTTCACATGCACAGTGTGCAACAGCAAAGCTTTCCTTGGCTCAATTATATGTTGGGTGAAGACAAATCTCTTTTTCGTTGTTCTGCACCTGCCCCATGCTAGTTTCATTCAGTGACCTTTTTTCTTGTGCTGCTGAAGACACACAGAGTGTCTGAATTTTTATTTGACAAGCACCAGCATGACATGAGAGAACTGCTGAGGGCTGCTGAGCTTCTTCAGTCCTGCCTATCTGAAACAGCCCCACATTGCTGTAGAGCCATGCATTGGAGGGTTTCCTCTACTTGCCTTAAGAAGAAGCCTGTCCAGAACCATGGGACCCAGTTACACCACCTCCAAGCTTTGCTTTAGAAATGGTGCCCCACAGCTGTGCATAGAAAGATCTGATGCCAACAGGGCTGCAAGCCAAGACGCTGTTATCTGAACCTCTCCAAATTTGCAGTGTGTGCACCCAGCCTTTGCACGTTGCAGTGGGCTCTGCTCTGCTCAGGTCATAAATCAGCATCTTCAGAATGTGCTGCCCCTTGGCTGGGCCATGCAAGGGGTTGAGCAGATGGGGGAAACCCTGCCTTCTCCGCAGCCTGTCAAAGCTGCGCTCATGCAACTTCTTGAACAGAAGTACAGCAATTTCTAGACTCAAGCCCCTTCTTGCTGAGATGCTGTTAGCAGCTGCCTTTTCCAGGCAGTGTCAGCTTCTGCTGATTTGGGCTTTTTTCCACACTTATACCACCCTGCCATTATACAGCAACACCTATGGAGAAATTGATCCCCTTCTGTTTGCAAAAATTAGGCCTTTTTAAGTTAGGGAAAGTTGAAGGTGTTGATGTCAGTATGCAGAAGGGATGTGCTGGGTGATGGTCTGTGGAAGATTTATAGGTGCCCCCTGGCACCAGCCCCAGCTCAATCCATGGAAGACACTGCTGGTGCTGTCGGGAAGAGGACCTGCAGCTGGTAAAGGGTTGCCCCTCCACCACAGCTTGCTCATCAGGTGGCAGCAGAGCTTGGCATACAGGCTTTCCCCCTGCAGCCCCAGCATCACTAGTGGTAAAAGGGGAAGGCGAGAGGAGACCATTGCTCTTGGATGTGTAGGCAGTTGCAGTCTGTGGATGGGGCCCTGGTCTGGCCCCAGGAGAGAGGAGAGTTGGCTGGCACTGGCCCAGCTGTGGGTCAAAATAAAGTCCTTTATCCCAATCATCTTAGAGGCATCACCATGACTGTACAGCCAAAGGGGATGTGGTCTGTGCAGGGCATCCCTCACACCACTGCAGAGCCAGGAAGCATGGAGCATGCAGAAAGCCATCTTCACCCCAGAATTACCACCTGGGGAGGCTTGAGGCATCTGGCAGGAGGACCTGGGGGTCTCTTGCTGACCCTGCTGAATCAGGGGCTGCCTGTCCACCGCCTTCATGAATGCTACCTCCCTTTGCACAACCTCCCCTCAGACACTTCTGTGCGCCAGGCTGGCTAACTAAACCTCCCCCTACTCTCTGAAATTACACTTCTGAACTGGAAAGCATTTGCATGATTTTTATTCCCCTGCTTATTTCAAAAATCTTTTTCCTCCAAAACCTCCACAGGACTCAAAGCCTTTCCTGCAAGAACCAGGGAATTATTACTTGTGTATTATTGTCACACACAGGCTGCAGGGATCCACTGATGGGGAGGCTCAGTGACAGAGATGAAATCCCCACTTCAGCTCAGTTCGGGACGGGGGCCATGCGGTCTGGCCTGCTGCACACCCCCCAAGGCAGCCGCTCCTCCACAGCTCTGTCTGTAGCTTCTCTGCAGCCAGGGAAACCACAAGGGGAGTCAATGTCAGCTCTGCCAGTACTGACCTGGGCTTGCTACTGGTTTTCTACATAAGCAGATGATGCAGAAGTACTGCCCTCTCATTTAAAGCTGCTCTTGTGTTTTCCCACGTTGGTGGTTTTCCAGTAACACTTTCTTTCTTTCTTTCTTTCTTTACCTCCAACCAGATCGTGGCTGCTATATTTGCTATTGCGGGGATAGTTATGATGACGTATGCTGATGGGTTTCACAGCCACTCCGTTATTGGGATAGCCCTGGTGGTGGGCTCTGCCTCAATGTCTGCTCTCTACAAGGTAAGCACACCTGGCTCTTCACCCCCAGAAAGATGCCAGTCACCCCCGTCACTCACTTTAATTGCACTTGCCTTACTTGCAAACCTTCATGCAGTTCGGTGCCACATGCCCTTCTTTGAGGGGCTCTGCTGTAAACACTGACGCTGCAGCACTGCATTCAGGTATTCCCTTGCCTTGATGTCTGCCCTCACTTATGACAAAAACTCCTACCTCCTGGGAAGAGCCTTCTCCAGGGCCCACAGGAGGACTTACAGCTGTCCCACCTTCTTGAAAAATTAGGCTGCTTTTCCACAGGTTCTGGATTTAATTTCTCTGGAAGCACCCTGCAGATCTAGCTTTTTTTAAGTTACTTTGCTACCTCCCCTTGCCAGTCCTCCTTCAGTGGCATACATAGCCTACACTGGGCTTAAAGTATTGCTTATCCTGGAAGTAATCACATGCTTAAAACCCAAAGCACATGCCTATGAATCAAGGTCTCATCCTGACCAGCTGGGTAAGCTGCACTATGTGTCAGATGACATGCAGCCTTCTCTGCTTGGGCGGAGAGCCATTTCACTTAGCCTGAGACATGTAAGTGCATTTGCCTCTGTGCTGCTCAGAGTTGCAGTCCACACTGAGGAATAAGCACTTGCAGAGTGGTTCACCCACCCTGGCTCGGACATGTAGACTAGGACGAGGTGTAGACATCTCCATCTGGTCTAATGAATTGCACCATACCAGTCCTTCAACAAAAATTGTCAGGCAAGCCCTACAGCCTTAACACAACTTGCCAAACTGAGAAGCATCTGCCTGTGTCCCTCAGCACTGTGCTGCAGTGCTTTCTGTTCACTTTTTCAGATCAATGTATGTCTTACGTAAGGGAGCTCATGAAGTTTCATATAGTTCTTTCCTCTAAAAGAGCGTTTCCTTGCCCTCCAGACCCGGGGAAACACCATGGCTCTGGAATCATCTGCAGGCAGGCAGGGTTATTCAAGGCTAGAGCCTACCTCTGCCCCCTCTCCTATGGCACCACAGCTCCTTGCAGGGATGGGGGTCCCAGGGCCACTCCACCATAGCCGGTGGGCGGGGAGGTGACAGTGGCAGTGCGGGCAGGGTATTACTCTGCAGTGTAGAGGACAGATGGAGCATGCGAGCACAGATGGAGCTGTATAGCTTGTTCTGCAATGAATGTCACTCTGCTGCTGCCACTTTGCTCTTGCTTTCTGCAGCCTGGCTCAGTTTCCATGAGTTGTGCATGCTGAAGGGGCAGGCAGATCTGCAGGCAGAAAGCTGCACCACATGCAGCAGAGCTGCCTTGACCTGCCTTCCTACCCCAGGCATGGACACTTCAGTCTGCCTGTGCTGGCTACCTACCCTGCCAGGGTTAACCCGCCGTCCTCAGGTGGCTTTCTGGACATTTTGCTCCATTATGCAAAGCAGCAACACAGCTGCACTGGTCAGTGATGGCTGTGAGGTTATGGGAGCGGGCAGCAACCCCACGAGCACAGCGGCCCTGCAGACATGCCTGTGGGGCTCTGGGCAGGCAAAGGGAAGAGACAGCTGACACTGGCAAGGGGGCCTGCCATCCCAGGACAAACCAGTAAGTCAGAGTCCATCAGCTCTCCTGGTTTGCAGCCTGTGGAGGGAAAAGCTGTACCCAGAGCCCACGGGATCCACCAGATCCTCTTGCAGTTCTGCGGTGGGAAACTGAGGCATACTCCAGACCAGACCCATCTGTGGGGGCTCCCCAAATGGGCCACTAGCATCCCTCATTCCCTCTCTTTACCCCTTCTCCCACTGACAAACCAAAGCTTTTAAATCCCTCTGTGGTCTCATTAGTCAGACTGCAGCTGGGGTCTGGGCTGCAGGGCTGCGGTGGCACTATCTGCCTTCTGGGGACGAGTTCCCAGGGAGAATGTGGTCCAGCACTGCAGGCAGGCCATGGTGGACTGTGCTTGCTCACCACTGCAGCGCTCTTCAGGTGGCAGCTCAAGGCCTGGACCAGTGATGTCTTACGCAGGGAGATCACCCACGTTGCTTCCTCTCCTCCCCCTGCCCTGCTCCACCAAATCTTCTGTTTCTCCTGTCAGCTTTTCTGGAGGTTTTCCTGAAGGGAGCATGCAGGAAGAAGACTGAAGGGTCTAGGCTAGTGTGAGCAGCCTTCCCTTTCGGGAGGTGCATGGCCAAAGGTGCTGAGTCCCCTTCCCACATGGGCTCATTTGGCAGCTGCCCCTGCCTGTGTTCCAGGGGAGTGCCAGGAGGGAGAAGGCTGGGGCACATAAGCTTCACGAGCAGTGACCTCAAGTGCCCAGCAAGCACCACCACTTAGCTGCTGACTGATGCTGCTCAGCACCCTGCCTATCGGCCCCAAGCACTGGCCAGTGGGCCACAATGCCAGGAGCCACTGGAGTCAGGACACCAGGCTGGTGCAAGAGAGTTAAAACTCACGTTTTCCTCTTGTAGGTTTTATTCAAACTTCTTTTGGGCAGTGCTAAATTTGGAGAAGCTGCCTTATTCCTGTCTGTGTTAGCTGTCTTCAACGTCCTCTTCGTTACCTGTATTCCTGTCATCCTCTATTTTACCAAAGTGGAGTACTGGAGCTCTTTTGACATCGTTCCTTGGGGAAACCTCTGCGGATTTTCGATTCTCTTATTGAGTGAGTAGATGGGGGGGCTCTCACACTGCTCAGGGTGGAGGAGGGTGCCAGAAGCTGGCTGCTGGTGGAAGCTGCAGACCTCTGATGTACTGGAACTGTCTTCCCTTCTTCTCAACCTAATTTGAGAAATCATGCAGAGTGTCCATTCCTAGGTGGCAATGTAGGCCCGGCTCCTGCTGTTATTACCAAACTAAAATATTGTGGCTGTCATTAGAAGGTGCTGTGGGACTAAACTGTAAAGCTTTTCCTAACTCCTACTCATGAGCTCTGTTTCACAGAGACGAGCAACACTTGCCCAGGCTGTGATGGGAAGCAGCCCGGCCCGCAGGGCATTAGCTTGTGCTCATCAGCATCTCCCGAGGAAGCAGGTTAGGCCAAGCCAGTCAAGGCCAGCCTCCTGCAGCTCTGCTGACTTCAGTAATAGCTAATTGCTGTTCCTAAAGAGCAGCAAACTTTTGAAAATGCAGCGTTACATAGTGCTGATGGGAATTTGGTAGGTGGTGCTCCTCTCTTCTGCTGCCACTGCTGTGCCACCAAGGGAATCAATGATTCATGGTCATCAGAAATGTGATGCTGTTCCTTGTTAAACTAATGTGTTGACTGTGCTGCCACAATTGGTCCCTAAACTGGATGACGGCATCACATCTCCTAAAACATTCCTTTCCTTTCTGCTAGAAATAGCCCTTCTCCATCCTGATGTTGAGTCCCCGTTCCTCTTTCCCTGAACAGTCACTTGACTCTAGAAGTACCTTCCGTTTGCCTATTAGTGGACTCAGTGGAAGGTTTCCGTAAGCAAGTAGTGCAACACTTTGCAAGCAATCACTGGGTGTGCAATGTATAGCTACTACTAGAGGATAGTGAGGCACCAGCTCCTGACGAGTTCAGTATTGGTAAGGCTCTCCTGACTTTGCTAAAGCGAATAACCTTAAAAAAAGGATGAATTTGGCCCAAAGCAATTATTAATTTCTTATGAGACACTCCATGAACAGTGTATGGTATTACAATGGAGTGATACTATAACCAATCAGTTATAATGATATTAATAATGATATTATAATTTCATTGCATGAAATTGTATTTAGCAAGTTCCTGTCTGGAAGAGGGTTAGATTTACAGCATCTTTCAGCTGTGGCTGGAGGCAGCTTTTCTACAAAAGAAGTATGCAGACAGAAGCGACTGTTTGGCTGAAATCTCCCAGATGAAAAGTGTTCAGCCTTTCATCGGGGATTTGTATAGAGAGTGGAAACCACTGCACGTTACACTGAGAGACAGGTGGTACCCAAACCTCACCCTGATCCTGCCACTGGACTCCAGCCAGATATAGAGTTCCCCAGAAACAGCAATGTCTCAGGCAGATGGACATGCAGCAGACAGACATCTGTCCACAGATATCTTCCACAAATAACCACAGAAGTTAATATGCCTTCTATTTGAGCAACATACAGAGGGAGTAATAAAGCATAAATGTTTCAAGTGATATGCCCTCTGCCTAGTTTCACTGTAATAAAAGGTGGTTTTCTTTCCTTCTTCAGCATTCAATATTCTACTAAATTTTGGGATTGCTATTACTTACCCCACGTTGATTTCTCTCGGAATTGTACTGAGTGTCCCAGTGAATGCGGGTAAGAATTTCTGCCTTTTACATCTTAATGAATACATTAAATCTGTGGCCTTTCAAATACACAACAGGAACAAAAGCAAATAGCTTTATTAAACATGTTTTGCATCTTCTCGCAAAGACTTACGAAGTGACACTGATTAAAAATGTATACTTTATGTGTTAAATATGTATTGTATAATATTACATGAATATTCATAATCTATAGAATTTCTTTTAAAATTATTGTGCGAAGAAGCCTGTATACTGAAAAACAAAATAGATTTGAAGTCATCTGTCTCTTGGCTGGGATGAAAACTCATGGATGAAGTAGAAATCAATTAATTATTTCTTCAAGGCAGGCTTAACACTGAATTGAAACAAATAAAATTGCTTAAATTTTGCAGCAAGTATGTACTAGCAATTCTGCTTGCCTTGGTAAATAACATTGCAGGTGTTTATCAAGAGCACTGGACGATTCAATTTTGGGCATGGCCTGGTACACTTCTCTGACAGTTTTCTGAGATTTAGCTAAAGCCAAGAGACTGCAGACCCTGAGAGGGCTGGGCAGGGGAGCGCAGAAGCAACCCTGGCCCAGACCAGAGCCACCTCTCCCAAACCAGGTTCCTAAAACCCGTCATGCTGAACTGGTGCCACTGTGCAGGCTGTAGCTCCCAGCTTTGTGCTGACTACAGGCACACATTGCTGGGCACCGCTGGCTGTCCCAGCAGACTTTGGTACCGAACGGTGAGATCCCCACCAGTGTGTGCACAGCTTAGCATGTGCAGGGTTTCTTACTCAGTGAGGCAGTCAGGGTGAGAGGAAAAATTTACAGGAATGAGCTGCTATGCTATGGAAGGGAAATACCTCTTTCTCTGCATACCTGGACCTCAAGCAGGAGTTCCTGTGCTGTCAGCAAACAAGGGAGAAGATGCTGCTGCAGACAACAACTGCAGCTCCAGACATCGTGCCCTTTTGCACCCTGAGCCCACAGGCCAGCTCTGCCTGCTCCGAGGGGGGCCGTACCCTGCTGTGTGCTAAGCCAGCATCAAGGGTGGTCTCCCTGCCACCATCCCCTCCACAGCCACATTCTCCTGCTACAGCCAGCCTTCCGAGCCAGGGAGGCGAAGGGGTGGGAAGGGGATACTGCCCTAATGCTTTGTCCCATGTAATAACACCCGTTCAATATCCCACACAGTTGTTGATCACTACACGAGTGAAATTGTCTTCAACAGTGTCCGAGTAATCGCCATCATCATTATTGGCCTGGGCTTCCTCCTGTTGCTCTTACCAGAGGAATGGGATGTCTGGGTAATAAAGCTCCTCACACGTCTCAAAGTCCGGAAGAAGGAAGAAATCCCCGAAGGGAATGGAGACATTACTTCAGGACTGCCTAACAAAAGCCGGAGAACTCGTCCCTCCATGTCATCCTTTGCTCATTAAATGCTCTTTTTACCAAAACTTTGTGGTTAACCTTATACATGATGATGCAAAGGTCTTTCCTTGGGAAGAAGCACACCTGTCCAACACGGTGTACATACCTGTACAGTTTTGATATGATCACCATCTAAGGCATCGAGTCTTGGCATGTCCAGTTTGCTTGTACTTTTTTCACATCAGACCTTTCACTTAAGTAGTACACTGAAAAAAACTGCAAACCAAGAACCTCTCTTCTCTTTTTAAATGAATGTAATATATAGTCAAAATATATTTACATAGGTTATTTTAAAGAATGATTTTCATGAAAAGCAGGGCAGACATTTTGAACATTAGGTACTGAATGATGCATTGCACACTGTGATTTAAAAGAAACAAACGCTATGCTACATCACACATTTATTTTTTGACCAGAGCTGTACTCTGAAAGTTTTCAAGGAACAAAAAGGGAATCTTTTGGGGGACAGGAAGATGGGGGGAAGAGAGGAAGGAAGGAGGTTTGGAAATCACTCTATGTAAATGAGCGCATGTTGCGCTTCAACCAGGAGAAAATTCAAGCACTAAAAATGCTTGCACTAAAGCACTAGAGAGAAAGCAGTCTAGAGCCCAAATCTCCTTATTCTGCACATGACTGTAGTCCACGTTTAAAATCATGCAAGAGAAATCCAGTGCCTTCTATAGAACTCTTGTCTTTACCCACGCAGAACCAGGTCCCTCCGCGAGGCACATGCAATGGCAGGGCTCAAGCTTGCGGCCCCAGGGGACCCCAAATTCCCACCGACATCAGGATGTGCCCTCCATAAGCGCCATGGCTTCTGTGGGAATGCGGGGCCCAGGGGACTGCAAGATAGCATGCAGGAGACCTGGTTCTCTTCTCACTTGCACAGGTTTTACCCCTGTGTGGAGCTGCGCTTGATTAACACCAGTGTGAGGAAGGGGAAGTCTTGGTCATGTGTGGGACAACCCAACCCAAAATTATCAAAGGGGCTGGCAAGAGCGTGGTTGATGTACAGTCTGAGAGCATGGACTAAGGGGGTGAATCACCAGTTGCTTTTACTCCATAATTGTGAGTGTTGAAGAATTTAAAATGTAAGATATTTACATCAAATGTAACACTTTTTATGAAACTTGTAAGCACCAGGATGTTTACTTACGCGATTTTGGTTCGCCATTAAATTTCTATCTGTGATAGACCACATGCTATGTAAAAAGGGGGGAAAAGGTTATAGTTTACTATTTTTGAAGTTTACATTGTTGCATACAAAATTAAAAGTGTTCTTTTGAACTGCTGCCATAGCCTAAGGGTCCCTGCTGCCACTGAGGTCCTCTTTGTCTCAGGCAGGGGTGGCACCCACTTCAAAACATTTTAGCAAATCAACTTTGGACTCCATTATCTGTTTGGCAAAGCTAAATAATAAAAGATTTTAAACTCAGTCTTGGTCAGTGCTATCTGTTTCCTTCTCTTGACTTCACCTTTATTCCAGTTTTAATGTGGGTAGTATTTGGCCAAAGCAATCAGAAGGGAGAGACACAATCGTCAAAGCAACCAAGGCTGCAACTCAAGGCACTGCTTGCCAGTCTGTCCTCGACAGGAAAGTCTGATCTAGACTTCCTGGACAAATCAGTCCAGAGGGCTGATGTTAGACATCAGTCAGGAAACACATGTCCAGCAGAAGTAGACAAAAGGAGAGGCTGACCTAACAGGCATTTAGGGGCTATGTATGAGACTTGAGTTTCTATGTTAATAATTAGGCCCTAGTCCAAGCTGTATGTTTGTTCCCTGCATATCTCTTCATGACCAAACAGATGCTACTCGCTAACAATGATTACACTCACAGGCAAAATTCTCAGGCTGTGGGAAGCTGCTCACAACCACTGTCCCATTCAGTGTTACACATCTGAATTTTTAAAGCTATTTCTTTGGGAAGCAAGGGAGGGTAAGGTATAGGAGAGGAGCACAGGTACAACTCTAATAACTGGTTTGAAGGGCACATAGAGATCTCAAAGCTCCCAGATTAGTTTACTCCATCTTCATCATATCATTTTGTCATGCCTGAAGTACCCACACCCCTCCCCAAGCCCCCTGTCTGAGGCAAGGCCAGAGAAGAATGTACAGACAGTCCTTCCATTTTCCATAGTCCCAATAAGTGACATCTTCTGTTATCTCTGCACTCCATTTTACTGTATGTTTGATACAGTCAGGTAGGTATCCAAAAGGTTCTAAATGCCGCTTTAAAAACTACAACTAATGTGTGTTTGTTACTAAAACAGCAGCAGATTTTTTTAACATTGAGTATGGATTGTGGGGGAATTTATGCACCAGAATGGATAGCAGCATCCATAAAACTCTCTGATTTACCAGATGCAACTGTCATTGCTTCTGTTGGCTCATCCTTCCTGAGAACAGGCTAAACACACAGGGGCTGGGATTTCAAACAGCACTTTATTACAGTCTCTCTCCTGAGTGGGAGCTAAGCAAACTAGATTTACCCATGTTAAGCAATTCTAAACTACATATAGACAAATTCAACAGATTAAGTGATTTATATTTCTTCAGGCAACACCTTGCCCTAAGGATAAACACCTGACTTGATGGCATGCTGCTGCTTACCAAAACCTTCCAGACAGCGAAGCCCAAGATGTGACTAGGAGAATGTCAAGAAAGCAGCATGTCCATATGGGTGCATGTGTGCATCTATAAATGCCAAAGCTTCACAGATCTGGAGCTGAGGAATGAAAGGAACTCGAGTTGTTGGCTCTCACCAGAAGGACAAGGCAGAGCGCAAACCCTTCTGAGAAGGCATTAGATATAACCAGGCCACCCTCCAGGTGAAGGCAAGATTGAGCCCTCATGATCTCAGACTATCAGAGGACTCGCAGGACAAATTCAGTTCCTTGGAGATGAGGGTAGAGTTGTGACAGGCTCCTCTGCTTGCCCTCATGGGCTGAAGCACTGGGTACAGTCTCTGCAGCACTCTGTGAGTCAGACCCACTGCTGGCCTGTATGGAGCCCACACCTCCTCTGCAGAAGAGCAACGTAAGTGGGAATCAGTACTTTTAGCCCACCCTTGGCCACTTCAAACCTCCTCGTGAGGCAGAACTGCAGGTCCCTGAAGCATCAGGCCTTGCTGCCTGGTGTCTTTGAAGCTTCATTGTCGCTGCGTGGCTCCTGCCCTAATAGAGCACTGCCAGCCACCTGTGTGCACCCTTGTTCAAGGGCTGACCTGGATCAGCTGCTTTCTGCCCCAGCTTAGCCCTCACAAGGTGTCTTGGCTCCTCCAGCAAAGGGGGAGATCGGTAATTATCCAGTGGACTTGTTAAAACAGCAAGTTGAAAAAAAATCTCAGGAAAGTAAATAGCATCACCAGACCCCATTGCAGCTGCCAGCTTGTCCTGACGCACAATACAGCAGCAAGGAATCCGAGGAAGGAACAGTTCTCCCCCTCCCTTGAATGTAATTCTCTTTGGCCTTTCTGTAGATGTCTTCTGCTACTACCTTTATCATAATTTTGTTATTTTTTATTGCAGCTCTCCACAGTGACTGCATGAGCACATGAGTCACAGATGGGCTTATTTTAAAAAGTTTCTCCTGCTCTTCTGTCTAGGATGGTTGTATTCATATCAGTAGTCTTCAAGAAACAGATGTGAGAGGCAGAAATCCAACCACAATACTCAACAGATGAACAGAAGACACTGAAACCAACATGCAGCTTAACTGTTTTGGAGGTTGTGAGTAGACTAGCAGGACCTGTAAATCACCAAGTTCTTGGGCTGAATTAATGTCTCCTGTAAACCTGGGGACAAGTCACTTACCCTCAGCTCTCCTGAGTGCTGTGTAACAATACTAGCACAATATTAAGTTACTCGGGTTAATAGAGGCAGTATCTTCAACCTACAGTGAAGGTTACATCACCAGTTTGATGCCATTTCTGGCCAAAAACCTTTCTGCTATTGTGCTGGCAGGCATGAAAACTCACTAGAAAGTGAAGGTTTCCCTGTGTAGTGAATACAGAAGTCTGAATCAACTTCTGTACCTCTGGATCATATTCCAAATAAACTCACAAATTTGCGCAACAGAAACACACGTGAAACTTCCCTCCTCTTCACCAAACAGGATGTCATAGGCCTCCACCACTTCAGAAGTCCTAGAATAGCACCAGTCACCTACCTGGTCTCAGAAAGCAGGCTGGGACTGGGGGTTTCTTCAAGGAATGGGGAAAGCACAGAAGCCAGAAACAATGAAACAGGTGTGAAGCAGGAGCACAGGAGAGCTGCTGATGGGATCAGGACCTAAGTGCCTTTTGAGAAACACTTTCCATGGGAAGATGCCCACCTGTCCCTTGCTACAACCCCAGTTCAAAGAAATGGGCTCTGAGCACATGCTGTAAAGTCATAAACTACATGGAGTTTGGTTCCATGTCCCTGGTTCGTACTGCAGAAAGGATTAAGTCCTTCAAGGCCTCCAAAACTGAGCTACTCCTTGGCAAAGGCCAATGCTGAGAAGCATCTTTCACAGTCCAGTCCTTGTGCAAGCTTGCTTTGCAGAAACTGCCAGCAGTAATGGATTTTGATGGATTTAATTAGCTCATGTGATGAGTTTAATTAGCTCATCACTAAGTAAAGAAAGCAGATTTTCTTCTTTAGGTGGCATGTTCTAGGGTATTTTCATAATAACCTGCACCTTATCTAAAAGTCCTGAAAATTAAAAAGGGAAATAAGAAAAAAATATGAAAGATCTTGTGAAAGCAAAAAGGAAGTCAAATGAACAGATGCTCACCTACAATCTAAAAATATTCTTTTAAGTGGAAATCACATTCCTAAGAACAGGACTGGTAGCTCAAACTAACGTTTCTGAAAATAAGACGACTCATATTTCTCCCTTCTACCTGAAACTCTGTTAGAGGGATCTTTATATATGCACAAGATCATTCTAAATAAGGCAGCAATGAATATTTCTCCATGCACATTACAGATACACTAGGATGCAACCAACTCACTTCTCAGCAATGAAGAGTGGAACTTGGAAGGAGAGTTACAGTTCTGGAAAAGACTTAAACAATGCAGGCTGTGAGGCTCACATTACTCGTGTATTTAAGAACCTGTCAGATGCAATTTCTCTGCAATGATCTAGACACATTTATCTAATACTACTGCTGAACTAGATGTTCTCTTCAGAAGGGAACTCAAAAGAGTTTTGCAGCTCATCATCTCCAGGTTTCCCTCCAGTTCTAGATTCAGTCCACCTAACATCTCAAGACAGCCATCAATACATTGTTTGGGAACAACAGCAATCAACTTGCAGAGCATCTTCCACCCAAACGAACAGAACTAAAGTAGATGTTCTTTAACAGAGTTATCCACTAAAAACTGAGGATCTTTCTGATGAGTGACAGCAGTAAATTTAGAGCCCCTCACTATGTATTTTAGACTTTTTCACCATGTCTGCTACCTTGTGTCTATTAATGCTGAATGCCACCAGCTATTTTACTGCCTGGACACAAGACAGTGAGAGATCCTCTCTCAGTTTTAGTCTTTACTCTCCTGAATCAGTAAAAAAATATGATCAGGAAATGTTTTTTTACTGACCAGTCATTTATGACTACATACAAGAAGACAGGCCTCAGCACAGGTCCTTTGTTAATCTCTCTCCTTTTGAACAGCAATAATTTATTCCTGCTCTCTGTTTCCTGCCTCACTAACCAATTTTTAGTCTACAAGAAAACCTTTTGATCCGCAGTAGCTTCATTTCTTTGGTAAGAAGCATCATTAGAAACTTCAGAAATCTAAGTGCAGTGCTTCCTGTTCTCAAAAAAAAAAGGGCCAAGACAAATCTATTGAAAGTCTCCTTTTAACATGAAAGGACAAGACCACTGAGAGCCTGAGACTTCTCCTTTGCTGCTCCTTAGGGGAGGGCTGCCTTGGCTAACTTCCACAGATTATTTATACTGAACTCCAGCTTCTGCACATACCCATAGCTGACCCAGATGCTTAAAAGATTCTTATAAGATTCTTACAAGAATCCTAAAAGCTGTATTCCAGTGAGGTCCAAGCAGCCGGATTTGTAAGGACTTAGAAAATGTGAACTTCAGCTTGGATTTCCTGCCCTGCTGGCTATGGGCATACATTAAGGGCCAGTGAACATAGCTTTGCTGTCTCCCAGCAATAGGTCTCACTGTCCCTCTGGCTTCTGAAGCTGCGAAGTCTTTAATGACTGCAGCCTAGTGAGCAGAGTAAGTTGCATAATACTCTCCTTGTGATTTTTGGCCAATTATACATTTTAAATGCCTTCCTGAATCTCTTTCATTGTGTGATTTTGGATTTGGTCAAAGGCATGTCACTTGCTAGCTTGGCTGCTAAGAAAACTGATATTGATCTTGGGAACAAATACCATGTTTGAGAACGGTGTTGCCTTTGTGCATGTGTAAGCAATCCCATCTGGTACAGTACACCTACGCTTCACAGACAATGTTAGCAGTAAACATAAGGTAATCGCTGATGGATTGTTAAATACAATACCTGAATGCAAGCACGCAGCTGGATTTTTAATAAAGAATTTTAGGATGTGTTTCAGTCTCAGAGACAACTAGGAACCACTTCTTTGCTTTTAGTACATAACATGCACAGAAATTTGAAAGCATCCAAATGAAACTCAAAAGATAAGTTTTCTTCTTCTGTTTACATAGCTTTGAAAATTAGAGTCTGCTTGTAGAACAGGCAGATTCCCAGTTTCCCATCTAGCTTTCTCACAAAAAGCTGAGCATCCACACTGCTGCGAAGAAAGCTTGTCTCATCCTTGGTAGGCTTGGAGAAATGCTGATCAGGAGCCAACAGAAGAGTAAGAATTAGTCAGTCTTCCCACCTTACCATAGCCTGCTTTTCCCAAAATATTTCTTTTTCTGTTTTTTTCCTTCCTAATAACTGAAAAAAAAAAATTGAATACTGGCATTAAAAACAAGTGCCTATAATTGATGTAAATTACTTCATCACCTTAAAGGAATCCTAAATCTCCAGTTGTTTACTTTTTCTTCATTGTAACAGCTACTCCTCTAGGTAGCCTAGTGATTTTCAGACTGTGTTCCACAGAGTACTCCACCAATGTCCATGAGAGGTCACAAAGACAAGCCAGCCTCAGCAGGCTTCAGGTTGCTTCGGATCACAGGTGAAAATCACTGTTTTGTCTACTCCTTCTCCTTCTGTCTCCATACCAGCCTGCACAGACGGTTTAGTCCTTCCTAGTCAAACCCCTCCAGCGCAACCTGATGGACCCCCACACCCAGCCCTCTGATACAAGTAGAGAAGTCTGTCTCTCCCTCACCCTCCCAAGCCATGTGCTTAATTCTCTATATTCATGTCACATTGGCACTCCCTAGTGCAGGGATGCTCATCATAACACCCAGCAAAGACAGCATTATGAGGAAATCAAGGTAAGAGCCCCAACACACATTTAGGTGAAAAATAACATAATAATGCACATTTTCTTAGGGATTCAGAACATTGATTTCCTAAGGCTGCCAAACAAAAGCTGCAGTTTTCTTTCTCATACACTCCTCCTTCTTTAGTCACTCAAAAATCTAAATTTTTGCATCCAAAGAAGTTTAAGCATATTATTAAAAGGAAATTAATAAAACTTGACATGAAGTCTTTATGAAATAATGGAGTGCTTTGCATAAGGCCATAGCAAGTACAATATGTATTTCTTAAACATTTAGAATCTAATGTGCTCCTTTCAGATTTTTATTTGCAAATGTTTGGTATTAAATGCAAGATTATGTAAAGAGAAATAACTTTTATTTATAATCAGAGACAGATCATTTAGCATTATCAGTGACTACTAAATAATGAACTCATTAATTAACTAAGGAATTAAATGCCTGCCAGTTCTTAAGCAATTCTCTTACAAAGCTCAGAAAATTATCACTCAAAATATCAATGATCTTCTCTGAAGCCTGATTCTTCAAGAGGGATATTTAGTTTTGAAAAGATTTTTGAAAAGCTGTTTTGAAGATAAAAATTACCTGTTAAAGAAGGACCTATTTGAAAGACAACTGAAGTCTCACTGAACCCTAATAATTACAAAAATAACTTCAGAAAGCAACATAAGGAAGACTTTAAACAATAAACATGTATAAATGCTTCCCCTCCGCAAGAACAAAGAGTGTTTCTACACTCACCTTTGCAGACTGCATCTTCAAAGATGACTCTACTGGCAAGAGTAATCCATGAGGGTCTTTAGCCAGTAAAAGGAGGAAAGTAGAATCTGAAATTTGGTCACACAGGATCTCAAGAGATCCACTCAGAGAGATGCTTGATGTTCAACCATTTAGTAATCTCTGTTTGAACGTTTTCAAAGAGAAGCAGAAAGAGGTGATGACTGTTTGCAGTTCATGGTGTTACTTTGCTTAATTTATTCTTTTTTAAAATAATAAAACCAGGCACAATTAATCATTGTGATTGTTTTGCTTTTGTTTAATTATTTTCTTTCACCAGGCATAGCAAGAAACTGTAACACCAAAGGAGTCAAGAGTTACTTGATAGATACATCCTTAATAGACATCTGAGAATCAAGAAAGATAAATAATGTTTCTCTTGCATTACATTTTTTTTTTAATCTTTTATTTTAAAAAAATTGTTGGTGCTCAACAACAGAAGAAAATGTCCCAGGCAATGTCAGGTAAGATTCTGTTATTATTTCCAGCAAAACAAATAGTTGGACACTGGGCTATATTGCTTAAAGAACTTGTTTTAAATTCTGTTCCCTGAAAATCTATTAGGGATAAGGATCATCTATCAGAACCCTTCAGTGCAAGAAAAACAAATTAATTGAGCTCCTGGTATAAGCACAAAGCTGAACACAGCTATAGTACTTCAAAGAGTGCTTGCATTATTAGCCCTAGGGACACCTGTAACATGCTAATTACTTCCAAAGTGAAAGAAGAAATCATTATGGTTGCCATTCCAGAATCTGCTGGGCAAGTTTCTAATAAATATGGGGTAAGTAAGGCTGTAGGTGAGGAGTGATCTGTCAGATGTTAGCTGGAAGGCAAAGTGCACACAATGCTTGTATCCTAATTAGCAAGAACAGGCAGAAGAGAGCTTGAGAGCCAAACCACTGTATAAACTTCACACAATTCACTTTAACGCATTGCTGGCAAGAGTTTCAGTGGGAGCTGGGCATCTATTTCTTCAACATCTATCTCATTAATCGCTAAATGGAAATGTAATTCAAAGGCTTCAATTGTGCAACCATGGCACCTAACAAATCTGGAATTTTTTCAGCCTCCCATCTTTCTAGAACATTTGCCTCTGCCTGGCTATTATAAATATCCCATTTATTACTTACTGGGCACATTTCCCAAAAGTAAAAGACTAAAGATAGATACTTAGAACTGGCTAACTAACAACAAAAAAATCCACCCCCTTATGGTAGCAGTTTAACCAAATGAAAATATTGCCATTAAAAAATGTATTAATCTGTCTTTTTTTCATATTCATGCACTATCTAAAAGCAGATTGCTAAACTTCCATAATATCCATTACACAGTTATTTACAATTGTCTCCAGCGATTATTTCTTGGGCTGCAGGTCATTAAAGAATAAACTATTTATCACAAGTATCCCAGATGTGCTATTTGGGGTTTGTGATTAATTATATATAATCACATTATCCCCTCTGTTTTGTGAATGCAGTAACTGAACAGCATTACATGCACCATAAATTTTTAAAATTAAAACACAAATGACACTTCCTATTATCACATTTCAGTCTCGAGACTTAACATTTATTTTTTTCTCAGTTATTTGTGCTTGTAAAAGCTTGCTTCACAAAAGCCTGGATGCAAAAGGATCATGAGTAAGCTGTAATATAAATTTACATATAAATTCTTTCCAACAGAAAAACACAATTGAAATTCCACTTTTGTAGTGACTTGCCTTAAACCCCCTGTTCTATTAGAAATTAAATTACTGCATTTCTCTCTCTTACCTATCATAGTCCAGCTAACAGGTTACTAAGCAAACAGGCAAGGAAAAGAATATGGGCTGTGTTATACACCGTACAGTGTACAGCAGCAGCCACATTCACTTTGCTCCAAAAAAGTATCCCTTCCAAGGGCTTGGTTAGGTGCTTCGAGAGACAGACTCGCCCTCCAGATCTGGCTGGCTTACAGGGGGCTCTGCTGAAGGAGTGCAAATCCTTGGTCTTTTCTTAAGATGCCTTTCCTTGTATTGAGACAAGCGAGACACCTGCAAGGAGAACCAGGCCAGCATGTCCACCACTACCTGCCAGAATCAATCTCTGAGGAAGAAAAGCAGCTCAAGGTAGTCACAGCTACACCCACTCCCCGACCCGGCTGCTGAGCAGCCTCGCTCCAGGAGCACTGGCTACCCACAAGCTGCTGGTAAAGCTGCCGGCCAGGGCCCAGCACCTTGCAGAGTTACAATCTCCCCAGCTGCCAAAACATCCCCCTTGGCAACGCCGCAGCGCGGTACTGCGGAAACACGCGCCCTAGCTTCAAAACTGCAAAACTGCTCTGCGTTTCCCAGAGGTCAATATGGAAGTTTATCAATTCCTCGGCTACTGGTGCTGCGGCGAGGAAGCGCCCCCGAATCCCAAATGAAGGAGGGAAGGGGAATTTTCTCCCGAACGCTCTTCCCCGGCACTGCAGGCTCCGTGCCGGGTGTGGCTGCTAGGCTGGGCTCACCGCGGCCCGCCCGGCCGGCCCTCAGGCTTAGGGTATTATTTTATCGCCCTCGCTACGGCTACATTTTTATTCCACTGAGTAAAACCAGATCGTCTTCCTCGATTTTATTATCAGCTTGACTTAGCGAGAGAGTCTCTCACAAGAAACCTTTCCGCAGCGTTTTTGATTTTTTTTTTTTTCCTGTGAGGCGCACAAAGCTGCGCGCCGGCCGTTGACACCAAGGCTCTAGGGGCCGTTAACCCTCCC